AACGTAAGTTGGTGGTGCTGATCCTTTCAATGAGAGTCGGATTGATATTTCAGTTGACTTCTAACTTTTGATATTCGCAGAGGAAAATCTAAACTTATTTGAAGGAGACATTGTGTTGTCTCCAGAAGACCACGTTGATCAACGYGATTCAGGAGACGTAGACGGACCACTCCCTGATTCCCAGTACAAGAGAAACGTTCGAAGGTCAAGGCTGAGGCTCTGGAAAAATAAAGTCATTCCGTATGAAATTTTGATTCGTAAGTTTTGAAGCTTTTGCTTAAAAAGCGTTTTACWTGATTTTAGTTAACCATAATATTAGCTGTACGGAAGTACCACCCATTCGATGCAAGTTTACTAGTCATTTTGATCGGCTAACAACAGGTATATCGTATTGTCAAATGAAAATAAATAATAACTCTTCTGATTTGTTCTGTAATTTCATTTCATTTATTCAGCCGCTGGGAAGCACAAGGACATCTCGTCTACTATATCTGAAGCTATTGCAGAGTTCCACAAACATACATGCCTGAAATTCGTACCTTACACCAATGAAGATAACTGGATCAAATTTGTCTACAAAGCTGGGTAGTTTTTGTTTGAACAATTATTGTGCTATAGGGCCATGGGCAACCATTACTGATTCATTTCGTTCAGATATTGAAAATGAAGTGACTTCAACAATATCCACTTGATCGAATCTTAAAAATCTCTATTCATAATAAAGCATACGGGGATAATAGCAGGGAAGTATCCAGTGGGTGGGGTTCAAAGCCAAAAAAATCTAAAAATCTATTGGTGCAGTGTGTGAGGATTTGTTTCGAGTTAACCAATTAAGAAATTCAGTTTTCTGTCTTCTCGGTGCCGTTTTTTGTTTMAGTTCACCATCTTGGGCWTCCTGAAGACGAGGTTCCATATATGGTGATACACATTTCCAAAAGCAAAACAAAAAACAAAAACCGCGAACGCTTTGACACAGAGTTCGAGCAATGTATGCTTTTCTCCTCTATAGACCACGATTCTTCTGCGCGAAAGCCATAGATTTTTATGACGTCATAGTGACAATTTGGTATGCAAGGACCCCCCTATGAAAATCCTGGATAGCCCCTGAATAGAGAGTATACTCTTGCTTCTATTAAGATAGAAATTTTACCGTATAATACTTGAAATGAAGTGTTTATCTTTGAAGTCGCATTCCTATTCCGAGGAAAATCAAATCACATTGCAAGGGATAAAAGATTCTCTGGTTCAAAATTTGATGTAATACTTTCTTTCTTCYCTCTTAGATGTTACTCGCCTATWGGTATGTGGCCATGGTTCAGTCAGAAAGGAATTGGTCAAGAAATATCGCTTGGCGAAGGCTGTAATTCTAAACCGAAGATCATGCATGAACTTCTTCATACTATTGGCTTTTGGCACGAACACTCTAGACCCGACAGAAACSAGTACATCGAAGTCATGTGGGAAAATCTTAAGCCAGGTGAGCAATGCAAATAGAGACGATTTGATGCATGATATCACTATRTCGCTGCRGTTTTTAGTCTAGGGAACAARTGGTAAAACTCTCGAATTTGGTCGTTGAGCCAATTTACACATTATGATACTGCAATGTCAGCATGATAATGAACGAGTTTTAATTTTTATTGAATTATCTTTAGTCCAAAGACCTCTCCAAAAAGGACAAAAGTATGATRCTGYCATTGCTCTTACCATTTGTATGATACTTYTACTTTCTGTTTTGAGGATTTGAGCACAATTTCAACAAATATAGTCATGGCAAATTGGATACTCTGGGCCAGATGTACGACTATAAAAGCTTAATGCACTACGGCAACAAATACTTCAGTAAAAATGGAAAACCAACCTTGCAGGCTATAGGTTCAAACAAAGGTGTACAACTTGGGAATACCAAAGGTTTTTCAGATACTGACATCTTTGAAATCAACGCTTTGTACGACTGTGAAGGTACTTTTGGCTATGTGTATGTATTATGTATGTACTGTGCAATGAATTGCTTAAGCCTACTACCAATATTATCAAATTGTAGGTTCTACGGCTGTCATTGTCTTTCATGCCACTTCTGCTATACAACAATGACATACAATTAGAGTTTATTATGTATATAGAAACTTTGCTATAGTATACTATACAAA